TTCCAGTGCCGCTGGGACGAGGGGAAGTGGATAGCGAAACTTGACGGTACTCTTATTCAGCACTCGGTAATCAATGCAAGGCATCAAACCTCCGTCTTTCTTGGCCACGAAGAAAAAGCTTGAAGCAGCAGGGGACGTAGAAGGGCGGATTTAGCCTTGATATAAAGCCTCCTCAATTTACTCCTCCATGGCCTTCTGTTCTGGGAGTGATAAGGGGTAAATCTTTCCGTGGGGTACTGGCTCACCAGGAATCAGATCAATTGCACAGTCCCATGGCCGGTGCAGAGGTAACTGGGAGGCTTTCTTCGGGCAGAATACGTCACTGAAGGGGGCGTAACAGGCTGGAATGTCGACTGACTGTTTCTCGACTGGGCTCTCGATAGATGTGGAGTTGAGTGTGAGGGTTTCGGAGTGAGGAGGTGACGGCTGAGGAATGTAAGGAAAACAGTCAAGAAAACAGGTACTGCCCCACTTCAGGACCTCACCAGTTCTCCAGGAGATGATGGGATCGTGTTGCACCAACCAAGGACGCCCTAGGATCACATCAGCGGTGGAATCCTCCAGAACCAGGAGATGGAGTGTTTCCTCATGCAATTGTCCAACTTGCAAGTGAAGAGGACCCACACTGTGACGCACATGTCTCCGGCTGGGTGGTTTTCTGGTCACCAATTGGACTTGGTAGGTGGTCTTGGTGGTCGTGGTTGGGAGATTGAGCTGGCGGCAGAGATTCCCGGAGAGATGAAGTTCCCGACTGAACCAGAGTCGAGGAGGGCGTGTACTGGAAATGAGATACCGGAGGCAGTAAGTATTACAACAGTAGTGAGGGGCTGTATATTAACTATTGATGGCTTAATGACACTCACCATAGGTCGTGGCGGACGAATTGGGATGCCACGATTACATGCCCCCCAGCTCCACAGTACAAACATAGGCTCTGGCTCAGCCATCTCTGCCGCTCCCAAGGGTAGATTGGAGTGCCATCCGCTAGTATGGGTTCGTGACCTGGTTGGTTCTGGAGGGCTGATGGTGTCTGGCCGACGAAGAAGTGGAGTGTATTGTGAGAGTTGATGTTCCGCAATGCAAGATTGCATACGAGTAGCGCAGCGGATGGATAGCTGTATAAACCGTTCCAAGCCATAGGAATCATCATAGGCTGCGAGCTGAAGTTGCACTCTCGGCTCCAGTCCTTGCCGGTAGGTGGTCAGAAGTGCGCGCTCATTCCAGCCGCTGGCTGCTGCGAGGGTTCTGAATTTGAGGGTGTAATCATTTATGGACAGAGACCCTTGATGGAGATGATATAACTGGTCACAGACAGAGGTATCACCTATGGGTTTACCAAAGACTTCTCGGAAATGTGCAATAAAATTATCAAGGGATTTAATTACTGTACCAGCTTGGTACCAGATGGTCTCTGCCCATTGAAGTGCTTGCCCCGTCAGCAGTGATATGATGAACGCTATCTTGGCTGATGATTGCAGATCTGTGACAGGTGCGTGTGATCAGTACTCAGGTGATGGTGTTCGCTGTGATTGGGAGGTGGCTGAGCCTGGCCGATCTGTAACAACAGTGATGGTATCAAAAAAATATTTTGATACTTTGGAATACACCATGATGCTGAACTGACCTAAAAAAAAATCCCATGGTATTACCATAATGCATGTTTGGAAACATGATATCACTGTACGTAGTGCATGTTCAAACAAACATGCTTATACCATGTTCTGCACCACATGATAAATGTTCAAAAAGCTGGGCTGATACCATGTTCTAAAAACATGGTATTACTGTAGTACATTTCCAAAAACATGGTATTACCATAGTGAATGTTCAAAAGACCATGGTAGTACCATGTCCTAAAAACATGTTATTACTATAGTACATGTTATTTATATAGTATATACTATATAAAAAAGGAAACCCTTGTTACCATACCATGACCTAAAAAATATGGTGATCCCACAGTACATTCGAAAACATGGTATTACTTATAGAACATGACCAGAAAAAAAACAACAAACAAAAAATGGCATTACCATAGTACATGTCCAATAAACCTAGAAGCATACCCTAAAAACATAGTATTGCTGTAGTACATGTCCAAAAAAAATTAATTGTAGCATAACCTAAAAATATATTGTTACCTTAAAACAGGGTATTACAACAGTACATGTCCAGAAACATAGTACTAAGTACAGTTGTGGTCAGAATTTTACAAACACTATGCAGTATCTGCAAAATATTAATTATTTGACCAAAATGCGTGTGAGTAAGATATTTCACATAAAAGACGTTTGCGTATTAGTCCACAAGAGAAAAACATAATTTAATTTATAAAAATGACCCCGTTCAAATGTTTACATATGCTTGATTCTTAATACTCTGTTGTTACCTGGATGATCCACAGCTGCTTTTTGTGTGTTTTGTTTTGTGATAGTTGTTCATGAGTCCCTTGTTTGTCCCGAACAGTTAAACTTCCTGCTGTTCTTCAGAAAAATCCTTCAGTTCCCATAAATTCTTTGGTTTTGCCTCATCTTTTGCATATTTGAACCCTTTCCAACAATGACTATGATTTTGAGATCCATCTTTTCACACTGAGGATGATGCATTAAGAGCTTGCATGGGTGTAAACTTTTGAACAGAATGTACAATATTTTTATTTTGCCTATTATTATTATTATCATTATCATTATCATCATCATCATCATCATCATCATCATCATCATCATCATCATCATCATCATCATCATCATCATCATCATCATCATCATCATCATCATCATCATCATCATCATCATCATCATCATTATATATATATTTTTTCATTTAATACTTCTCTTCAGAAGCTACAGAAGATACATGTTTCCCAGAAGTCAAATTAAGTTCAATTTACCCTGATCTTCAAATTCAAAAAGGTTTCACCTCCAGGCACTTAATGCATCGTCTTTTTTCAATAAAAGTCTTTTATGTGAAATATCTTATTCAGGTCAGTACTAAATAAAAATAACATGCATTTTGTATGATCCCTCTTATTTTGGTAAAATAATTAACATTTAGCAGATACTGCAAAGTGCATGTGAAGTTTTGACCACAATTGTACATGCCCCCAAAAACGCCGATCCCATTTTCTAAAAACATGGTATTAGTGCATGGCCGAAAACGTTGTATTACCATAGTACATGTTCAAAAAGTTTTTGAGTAGAATATTTTTCTCCTTTTCACTGTTTATGTTGTCATTTCAGGTACAGTAATTCAGGATACTGAAAAAAATCTTTTAGAGGGCTGAAAAGATCCAAAATTCAAGCCAATTTTTCAAACCAAATTCTGAACCTAAGAACCCTGTGAACACACTGCCATTCATGGCAGTTTCGGGAGTCGTGTTCCGTACACACATGGAACGATAATTTCTGGGACTCACACTCCCGCATTTAAATGCGGTTGTCACTCCTGAAACTTGCAGTGTGTACGTGGCCATAGTGTTATATCATTACATAATATTACTAAAACTGAATCACATAGTAAAAACTGAAGTTAATTTCCACATTAACCCCTCAAGACTGAAGCCACACTCTGACAGTAATTCAAATACTAGTAAGCACTTCCTGGTAAGTGTTTTTATAAGAACGGCAATAAGACAATTGCATGGAATGTGGGCCTGTTCAATCAAGCACAAGCAATACTGTCACATGAAACTTTACAAAGGCTCAGTAAGTAGCATTTGAGCTCAGTGAAGAAGAATAAACATCTTTAAAAGTCCAACTCTTTTTTTTTTTTAAGGAAAATGTATAGTGTACACTGCAAAAATAATATTTTAATGGGTATTTAAGTCTAATTGACCAGTGTAATATCTAAAACACTTTTAAAACAATATATATATTTACTTTAAGATATTAATATTCCTGCAATGGTAAAGCTGAATTTTCAACAGACATTACATTCAAGAAACATTGACACGTCTATTTTTAGTATTCTTTGATGAATAGAAAGTTCATCAACAGCAATTATTTGAAATACAAATAAAAATCTCTTCACCATCACTTTTGATCAATTTAATTTGTTCTTGCTAAATAAAAGTATTAATTTCTTTCAAGAAAAAAAAACCTTACTGACCTAAACCTTTGAACAGAATTAGAATTGTTTATTACAAATACAATCAATGAAGAGACGTAATATCGTATGTATCTTTTTAAAGATTTTTTAAATATATATTTTACTGGAAAGTCAAAAAGACTTAAGAAGAATAATTTGCACTGTACATTTAAATGCCACAAATAGCTGTAACAGTTTAGCCAATATTTCCTGTTTACTTGTTTTCAACAACCAGTTATTTATGCAGTGTTTTTGTAATGGTCATCCGTTGAAAATATTTCCATTTTAAATGTTAAATTTGAACATCAATCAATTTAAAAAAATGATGAATAGGTATCACCGCACTGCAAGAGTCTTGTTTCTGAAGCACCTCTTTAAACACCTTGCTGCTTCAAGCTCCGAAATACTCTCGACTCTAACACTTTCACTTCAATACTCTTGGCATCAGATCATCTTGTTTTTGAAAGTCGTTTTTTTCCCTCTAACTCCTCTGCCACACTATTTACTAGTCTTTTGCGGGTCAAACCAAATGCGAGTGCTATTTCAATTAAAGTTAATTCAAATGCTGCCTCACAGCCCCACTGATTGAGAACAGTTGTTGTTCACAGTTTTCTGAAAGGTGACATTATTAAGCTTCCAGGAGCGTTAAACTTTTGGCTTCAGGAGGTCTGGCAACTCGCCCTCATGAGCTTTGCTTTTTTATCTGTCTCCTGCATCTTTTCTTTCTTCCCTTTTTCATTGAGTGTTAGCGTTTTTTGGCTTGTATACTTCATTATTTCATAGATTTGTTTATGTTGGAGTGGGACATGGGTGTGCTTTCTGCACAGATATCACTCCAGTGAGCTTGACTTTTTCACAGAAGAGATCAGTCCTCTGGTTAAAAGGATCTTTTTTTCCTCCTCACTCTGCAGGTTTGGCTCTTGGGAAATGCTATCAGAGACTCAAGTCACAGAAACCAAAGCGCCAACTGTGTAGCCTGATTCATGCGAAACCTCAATGATGTTTCATTTTCAAGCACAGCGATCTCATTCAGCTAATGGTGGGCCACGCCATTCCCAGCACCCACTGAGACAACCATCAGATGACGAGGCAAAACAAAGCATCAGTGATTGTGTATATGACCTGTGAACTTCAACTGAGCAGCAAGGTTTTGAGAAATGTCTGCAAAAAGGTGTGTGAAATTTCACAGGATGTCTTTAAACTGACTCTTTGTGAATTTACTGCATACCTTATTTGACAGCAAATCTTATGCACTAAACACGGATATAAAGTTGAGTTATAAAGTTACATTGTAAGTCAAAATGTAACTTTATATCCCATAATGTGACTTTGTATCTTACAATGTAACTTTATATGTCAAGATATGACTTTAACTTGCAATTACAACTTTATTTCTCATAGTTGTGACTTTATATCTCACAATAACTTTATATCTCTCATTGTAACTATCTCATAATGTGACTATAATGTAACTTAATATCTCATCACTTAGCATGTAACATGCCATTACAACTTTGTTTCTCATAGTTGCAACTTTATTTCTTACTATGTAACTTTATATATCACACAATGGGACTTTTTGTCGCACATTGTGAATTTACTGTATATCTCACAATATAACTTTATATTATAACTTCTCGCGATGTAACTTTATCTCATCATTTGACTTTATATCTCACAATGTAACTATATTTCGCGATGTAACTACCCTTTGATGTGATTATTTTAAATTGAAGTTGCAACAATCGTTTGAGACTTCATTTCTCACAATGTGACTTTATAACTCATAAATTGAGATATAAGTTTACATTGTAAGTCAAACTGTAACTTTATTTCATATAATGGGATGTTACATCTCACAATATACATATATATCTCACAATCTAACTTAATTTCTCACAGTGGGACAATGTCTCACAATGTTTGTTTGTGGGAAAAGGCTTCCATATCTTTTTATGTAAATAATTTAATAAATAAATAATTTATTCAATAAATAAATAAATATTTGTCCATGGCAATAACAATTCTTGTAAATTCCATTCAACACAGATTATCCAGGGACATTTTAAGAAACAATTTGAGCATGAAGGTCCATCTCTAACCTGAAACTTTGCGGGAAAAAGATTCATGTGAACAAACTCGTGTGAATTAGCCACCAACATAATTATATAATTGCATAAAGCATAAATTAGTTACAAATTGCCAAGAGATTGTGTTGGATTTGCACAATTCCCATTGTGATTCAGGCACTAAAACGTTCATGCATTATATTACTATCAGCACACTCAAATCATTATCTTCATAGCTTCTCCAGTGCTGGGACATTGTCTATAGTCTGTGGCTGCACTGGTCACAGTGAGATCATCTTACTGTATGGTTGGAACCAGTTAATCTAGTGAGACCTTCTTACTACTTTTGCTTTCAGAGAGAGAGAGAATTTAAACACTCCCACATGGCTAGAAGAGAACCGTGATGGAGCCCAGATGTGTATGTATTGGGAGAGCCAGCATTAGCTGCTTTTGGACTGAAACTACACCAGATTGTATGTAATTTTGTTGTCCAACACTGATGGTTTGGAGCGATAGTGGGGCTGATTCAAATGAGTCTGAGTGCTGGCCGTTGATCCTATGGATTCTGAATAAATACAACCATTATCGTTGAAGGTCAAGAACTAACAGTCATTTGATTTGATCCCAAGAGAATTTACAGAACAGTACACACATTCATACGAACAGCACTAGCAAAGGGGTGCAAGAGCACTCAGAGTAACTTATGTAACAGCCGTTGGATGGAGCCAGACATACTATTCTTTAGGCTAACATCATCTTGCATATCATGGTTAATGTTACCCTTCCGTGTGCCGAATATCTCTCTCTGTGTTTCCCCTCCATTTTAAGAGTGTGAGGACACTGATGTTCCTGTTCCAAGAAAGGCTGTGGCCAACCCTCCAGCCTGCTTTAATGTCATAATGACTGTAGCAAATCACAACCAGAAGACAGAGGCGCTCTGCCATTTGCCTGCTCCTTCTATGAATGACTGTGCACGCAATTGGCTGTACATTCTTAAAAATAAAGGTTTATGAATGGCTTTTTGCCGGTTATTGAGTTCAGCAAAGAACCTTTTTCTTATCAAGAATGATTTCTGGCTTTCTTGAGTTCTTTTTTGGAGAATAAATAAAGTTATTGATGTTGCATTATATGTGTATATTAATATCATGTTTTATTATTTTTATTGTATAAAAATCTGATACATTTTATATTATTATTATTATTATTTTATTATTATTTATTAAAATATATGTAACTATGATTTCAACATAATCCTCAGAGAAAATTGCTTTAAAGCTATTGTTTTTGCATTTTTGCGCAAATGAACTTTAAACAAAATAATTGATATTGTCATGTTTTTTGACTAGCATTAGCTGTTAGCAAAGATATGTTTAAAAAGTGTCATGTATATTGTTTGCTTTTAATCTGGCCCTCAAATCTAAAATCTCTCTCAAATCTCTGTGTAGTCTTTGATTTTTCACCATTGATTGGATGATATGGTCGGATGCTTTGGCTAGTCTGGGCCTGTTTGTTTATCAAATGAAGAACAGGTTTTCCTGCTACCATGGTGACTTTAAAGACAGTCAAAGGGGACAGTAACTGTTACTCACAACTGCCAGAAATGCAGCAGATGAAAGATCACGAAAGCAACAAATGAATTAGATTAAATCAATACTGTATACTATAGAAACGGGTAGACTCTTCGAATAGATGACAGAGCTGTTAAAACCTGTGCTGATGCCAACATTAAAATGATGAAAACTATGAATTTCTAGTGAGCTGGAATCTGTACATCTTTCACTAGTAAACCTAATTAACACTACATGACATTTTTGGCAAATTAAGAAAAATGTCAAGTTTCTGCACCAATAGAGCAGCACCAATTAAAATGTGTTTATTTGGGTGGCCCAATTGGGATGGACAAAATGGCATGACCTGTTTATCGAAAATGGAAGATGAGGGAGTGTTTGAAAACTTATTTTGTTTTTTTCCCAATTTTGTTTGGTGCTGCTGATGAAGCAAAAATATCACACTTTAAGGATATTAGAGAGAACCTTTTGCAGATGGAAGAGGTTCTTATGATTTCATCTGCTTTGGCTCAACAAAAATACAGATAATATTACAATCATTGTTCTTGACAGATCAACAGAAACTAAATATTGAACAGCCAGGCTTTTTTAGATATTTAAAACAAAGTGACTTCAAAGATTCAGCTATAAATGAAGTGCAGGATGAGTCTCACATCCAGAGTCCTCAGAGCTCTTTTGCAACTCAAAGATGTTCCATATGAGTTTCCCCTTTTTTCTCTAGGTTTTGCTGTGTTGTTCTATAACCTCAAGCAGGAAGTTTTAGAGTGAGACTTGAAGTAAGCTTTTCCTCATGTGCCATCATCACTATATCTGGAAAAAAAGTGGAGATCTAGTTTAAAAGAGTTTCTTTTTAAAACCATAAAGATACTACACAATACTCCCATTACAAGGACTACCTTTGGCCAGCTCAATGTGGCTAGTTTGCTCTTAAAAGAATGATAAACTTGACCAAGTATAACTTGATTTTTCTGGAAAAAAAAAAGTTAGTGCTGCTTGCCCTATACAAAAATATTCACCATGTTGTAATGGGAGGTGTTTAGCACATTGGGGGGGGGGGAAGAATAACATAAATCTCTGTGATATAGAATCACATTTATGCCTCAGAGTATAAATAAATAAATAAATAAATAACTTACTTTAGATTTACGTTATCAATATTAACTTTATTATTATATCTCACAATAGTCACAAGACTGTTTTATTTTCAGTGCTGGGTATGTTACTTACAAATTTTTGTCCATTGTTGAATATGAATTGCATAACAAAAAAATATTGTTACGTGATCAATTTGATTACACATTTTAAGTAATGTATTCAGACTATTTTTGATTACTTTTGGCATACTCGTTTATCACAAATTTCAATAGGATTATTTTGTATCATATTCATTAAAGGGGTCATATGATGCAATTTCAATGTTTCCTTTCTCTTTGGAGTGTTACAAGCTCTTGGTGCATAAAGAAGATCTGTAAAGTTGCAAAGACTAAAGTCTCAAATCCAAAGAGATATTCTTTATAAAAGTTAAGAGTCAACCACGCCTACCTAAAACGTCTCGTTCTAACACGCCCCCACATGTCTATGTCACGATGTGGGAAGATTTGCATAACGCCGCCCAAATGTTCATGCAAAGAAAGAAGGCGTAACTTTTATTCTCGCTGTAGTATT